GGGGTAATGTTGGTTCATTCAATTGGTGTTGTAAGTTTTGTTTTTTTTTTTTATTGTATTTATTTTTAAATTTTTTTTAAACATTTTTTTTTTAATTTTTTTTTTTAATATTAGGTGTGGAAACGACACAGGTTTTTCTCTCATTTTATTTATTTATCGATAATTTGTTTATTTGCTAATACAATACAATATAATTTACTTAGACGTGCGTGTAACCCTGCATTTAAAGCTTTACCAATGCACCTTTTTGTTGAAAAGGGGTTAGAGTTGATGGAAGTTTTAGAAAAGGTCGATAATAAGCCTATTGAAGTCAATGACTTTATGCAAAGGTAATAAAGATGTTCTTTACAAGCTTATCATTTATATTAATTCATTAAAATTTATAAATTCCAAATATCATATAGGTTGACTTTGGATGTCCTTGGAAAAGTTTCTTTTAATTTTGATTTTAATGTAAGTGCAAATAAAAAATAATATATTGTACAATTTAAATTTTGACAGATTTTCAAATCAGAATCTTCAAGATCCACATAATGTCTACGTAACAGCTTATAATGAAGCTCAGAAAGTGTTTAGAAATCCATTTTATTCTATTATTCCAATTGAACACATACCGATTTTAAGACGGCTAGTGTATAGTAAAGTTGATAGATTAAGTAATTTATTTGAGGATTTTATTAAGGAAAAACGCAAATCTTTAGCGGCTGGACAATCTAATGGAGATCTTTTGGAACATATGATAAAGGCTTGTGAAGATCCTGATAATCCAACTTTATCAGATGTTGAACTAAGAGTAAGTGACTTCAAACTTATATTAAGATACATAATCCAAATAATAAAATTTTAATATCATGTTTTAATTTTAAAAGCATAATTTAGCCATCTTTATGGTAGCAGGTCATGACACAAGTAAATATTACATTAGTTCTGAAAATCAGTTTATAACTTTTATTTAACACTTATAACCTTGTTTTCTATAAATTTAGCCGCAACTGCTTTATCATCTCTTTTATATCTTTTAGCAGTTCATAAAGTAAGACGCAAAATAATAATGTTATTATTATTGTTATTATTATTATTAATATTATAATATTTATTAAACCGCTAAATATTTGTGATTTATTTATCTAGGATGTTCAAAGGAAAGCCCGAGAAGAGGTCTTAAAAATACTTGGTGATGACCTAACACCATCGGCAGAACATCATGCGTCATTAAAGTATTTGAATATGATTATTCGTGAAAATCTTAGATTATACCCTCCAGTTAGTATGATTTTAATTTTAGTTAGTATTTAAATAAGTAACTATACAACTTACAGTATAATTTATTTTTAACGCGTATAGGTTCCATCTTTGACGTTACGTGTATTAACCGAAGATTTAAAATATAATAACTTTTTGATTCCAGCTGGTACCCCTATTGCTCTCTTTTTATATGGGATACAAAATTCGCCAAAACTTTGGGAAAATCCCAATGAGTTTTTGCCTGAGAGGTTTGAAAATGAACATGAGAATTATTCTTGGTTGGCCTTTGGTGGTGGATCTAGAATGTTTGTTGAATTTTTTTTTATTTATCTTGACTTTTTTACTTTGGTTAAATTTATAAAAATTTATTTATATAAAATTTTTATTTTTTTAAAAATAAATAGGTGCTTAGGAAACAACTTTTCTCTTATTGAACAGAGATTAGTGTTATGTTTGTTATGTATGTATTTTAAATTCATTAAATAATTTTTTTTTTTACGTGAACACTGACATGTATAATACGTATATATTTTTAGTGCGTAAATATGAAATATCATTACCTCAAAATAGCATACATAAAGACGGATTAAAAATCAAAAGAGGAATGTTTCCATATCCAATCGAGCTTATTTTTAAAAGAAGAAATGAATAATGATAATGCTCGTTTACCTTTTATAATTGAATTTTTCAATATTAAATTCTATTGATTATTTTCGTCTAATTAGTATTTATAAATTTTACCATTTTTATTTTAAGTAACTATTTTAAGTGCATATTGTTTTAATTGTGTAGTATCTTTTAGAACCACAATTATAAATTTCACATAAACTATATAGTATGTAAAGGTCCATATCACGCATGTTCTTAACAACTATTCCTTGAAACGAAGAAATTTCATTCTTTCAAAAAAATGATTAGTTTCCTTAGCAGCTTTACATCCATATCATTAAAAGAAAGATTTAAAAAGGTTATAATATTATTTGTGGAAAGTGCCTCTACTAATATCATCCCTCCGTCAAAACTAATGCAGTTATTTGAAAGATTCAAAGAGACCAATATAGTATTTTTATGTAAAGCTTCCACTAGTGATTTTACAAATTCATTATTATATTCAAAATTTAAAGTGGTTAAAGTGACATTCTCGCAGAGATTATTTGTTAAGCATCTATTCCTTCAAATCCAAATTGATTACCATAACGATTTAAATAAGCATTCTTACCAAGTTGATTATAACAAAGTGATAAAGAAATCAAAGTGGTTTTTTTTTCAAAAACATCAACTAATGCTTTTGCCCAGCAATGCAGAATATTTCAAGTTCTACAGTCGATACTTCTAATTGCATGCCATCCGTCAGAGACTTTTATGCATATAGACAATATATGCATTTATAAGAATCATTTTGATGTTAATAATTAAAAAAAAACCCCCAAAAGTTTTTATGTACTAAGAGAGTATATGCAATTAGATAGTGTCGACTGTATTCGTATAAAGAGTCTCCGCTAACATTTTACAATTGTGTTCACATCTAATAATATTAATGTAAATAAAATAAAATTAAATAGTAAATATATATAAAATTGAATAGCCTATTTTAAATGCTTAGATTAATGAATATTTTTTAGGATTTAATCATTTTGCGCAGGTGCGTTGTAACGCACCCCAGAAGATCAGGTATAACATAAAATCAAAACAATGGTTTTTTATGCGATTAGGGTTAGCATTAGGTAAGGTTAAGGTAGATATAAAAGATGGGCTTATAGCAAAATCTTGCAAGGAATTTTTTTGTTAGGATCCAAAAGGTATTTGCATATGCGAAATTTTGAGTTATAAGCGATTTTTGGTGGTCGGCTAAAGCGGAGTGAAGTTTGGTGTTACCTTTTTGACGTAGTTATGGTTAGTGGGTTATATAGATATCAAGAATGTAATTTATGCAGCATGTAGATCATATGAGTGACGAAAAGGGAAAACCTGTAAATCACTTCACTCATTGAGTGAAATGATTTACAGTAAACTTGGTCACCGAAACCTTTTTGGCCAAATCCGAAAGTTTCGGGTTTCGGATTATAGTTTCCAAAACCTCATCCGAAACCCCGAAACCTTATCCGAAATCCGAAACCCTACCCGAAACCCTACCCGAAATCCCGAAACTCCATTTGTATAATAAGATTTAATAAAATCAATAAAAAAAGTATGTAA